CAGTTAATTTGGCCCGACAGACCCGATGGAATCCATTGGCCGTTGACATTCCATGTTCCCGCATTAACTGTCGGCGCTACTTTTTTTCAGTCCGCGTATCCCTCACGTGGAACAAACTACCAACATCTGTTGTGGATTGTGGTAACCTCGAGACTTTCAAACATTCGCTTGACGAATACATAAGATCTCACCCAACTTCCCTCATCAACATTTGAGATGCAGATTACAAACAATAGAACATATATGTCATATCATTCCGTTTATCTGTATACATACACACACACCAATATCCTTTGGTCATTGTAAAGCAAAATGCTTTTTAGACCAATATAACCTTGATTTACCTTGATTTACCTTGATTTACTGGAAGTTAATGTTACTGAACCGTACGGGAAAGAGGGACACTCAACGGCTCCCCTATGAATTCGGGGATAGAAGCCACCACTGAGTAAACGTTGTACGTCCATGAATTGCACACAGGTTAGTGTCCTCGAACAGACCAACCAAGTATGCCTCGCTCGCTACCTGTAGAGCTGAGACAGCCGAGCTCTGGAACCTCAGGTCGGTCTTGAATTCATGAGCGATGTCCCTCACCAGGCGCTGGAAAGGCAGTTTACGGATCAGCAGCTCGGTGGACCTCTGGTAGCGGCGGATCTCACGGAGAGCGACGGTCCCAGGCCTGTAGCGATGAGGCTTCTTCACGGCCACAGTACATATGAAAATTGCCTGGTTAGGACTGGGTTCTGGAAGCTCCATAAGTACATCTGTATGTTATAAGGACTGTGGTTTGACTTAGATGTAGGTTACTGAATAACAGCGGCTGTTTCGTCAATAGTCAATAAGGGTCTCTTGAAGATTCGATAGGCAACCTAGTTTTATACACGCGCCCAGTAAGCAATACTCTGGTCAACTGAATGTATGTAAATTTAGGTAGCAGGGACACCAGGCTTTTAGAAAATTGAACAAGCTGCACGGACGTTGGATGTGTGTCACTGCAAGTTACAACAGCTGAAAATATGGCTCTGTTTTCCACTGCGGGCTGTTGATTGTAGGGACAGATTTCCTTGTTAATCCTTCCGTTTCGTTTTTTGGATTCACCAGAATCTGGTGGGATCCTACGTATCTTATGATAACAATTTGAGCATTCGAGTAACCAGCAGGCGAACAGATCCATCTAATATCTCAGTAATCAGGTTTTTGGTCCTGAGTTGTGATCAGCTGGTTGATTTGGTCGATAACTTTTACAAGAAGATCTGGAATCAAACGAATACCGAATGGAGGCAAGATCCAATTGAATTGGAGGAAAGTATCCTTCAACCCCATGTCTGGTTATCTTCTCCGCGAAATAACTATGCATACACTAAGAAAAAGACCTTTTGGATTCATCACTCGCGGTTTATATTCTATGGATGTCAGTGTGTTCACCCTGGTTTGACTTGCAATCTTTTCATCGCCATTTGAGTAGATATCAGTTGGCGGCTGGATGCGTTGAATGCACTAACGATGTTTCTTCGAAAGGGGACAAAACGTTTGCAAGTCAACTGCTCACTTTAGCGAACGGAGAAACAGTCAGCCAACCAACGACCAACAAATGTATCTAAACTATCCAAACCTCTGAGAACCTGTAATTTTTGGGGGAATTTGAAATGCGGAGAAACGCTTTGAAGCCACTTCTCTGGAACCGGATACATTTTAAATTGGAAAAAAACTGGTATTTTCAAGAGCTGTTTCCAAAACTACCACAAATCGGATCAAATGGTCTGGTTATTCAAATTTTCAAAGAAAACGGTCCACCCCCAGTCGACTGTCACAACTACAGCTGGTTGCATGGGATAAAAATTAATTAATTAATAATTAACAATCAATAATAAAGTCGTGCATATCCCCGTTTTGGATGTTGCTTGTGTGTGTTCCGTATCCGAACATTTCTTCGAAATGTCTACTAAATTCTCCCTATGATTTGACTCCAAATTTCAAAGTGCAATTTTTCTAGGTCACCAAAGTGTGCAATATCATTTCAAATACCAATATGTATAACTAAAGTAAACAGCGAGCCTAAAGCGGCTGGATCTGTTGTTGTTGTTTTTTCTTGATTTGTTGGTGACCTGTCGGAATATTGATGGCTCACAATTGCTTCGACACCCGGGGCGTCGTCGAAGATATCTCCACCGCCGGTGATGAAACACTTGCGAGTTAACCGTGAAGCATAGCGAACAGCCAACGGATCACGCACCAGTACTGATGCCTTTCTATTATTATTAACAAACTTGTGATCGGACCAAACAGCTTTACTGGTGGGCCACGGTGTAATTTTTGGCAATAGGTGCACAGCGAAAAGACACTCGTTCTTGGATTCACACTCCACATCGGAGTAAAGCCGACAAAACGCTTTGTGTGGACTGTCTGTGCAACGGAATGAATGCAATTGGGCCGGATGTGAACTGAAGAATGCTGTTTGTAAACTATCAGCATACCCATATAATAGTCCGCAGCAGTCAGCTGTACTTCAATCGGATCAAATGGAGGAAGAGAGTACTGGACGAATTCATTATTAATTCGATCTTGTAGCGACCCCGTCACCCACATACTTGACTGCTCAACTCACAGTCGCTCACTGGATCGCGAGGCTTGTCTATTTTCTCATGCGCACAAACACGTCGCATTAAGCTGACTCATCGGACATCGATTGTCTGCACCGCCTAGTCAGCGTAGCAACCACTCATGTGCCGACGCGCCCACATACACGCACT